GGAGCGGATTTAGCCGCGATTCAAGCTTGCTCAATGCAAGCTTGAACGCGACATCGCGCGGCAAATCTTGCGATGTTGCGCAATATGCAAATCGCGCAACTTGCATATCGCGCAGTGGGAACGGGGCCTAAGCCGTCCCCTCTCTAGTGAAAACTAGAAAATACTTTTACTTTCTGTACACTTTAACATGGCCACATGAGGAGAATGCTGCAGGTGCAATAAACCTGCCAAGTGAATAGGCTGGCTTACCACAACGTGGATGCTTGAACTACCCTTAGTCCGTTTGGGGATAAATGGGGCAGGCAATGTTTAAATTAGAGATATGGAAACCTCACAAAAGTTATAACTAAATCTAAAATGGAACTTTTTTTTTTCTCCCAGCTTTTCCTGTAGTACAAAGTCCTCTGCTTTTACCAAAAATAAATTATTTTTGCAGTATCTACCACATTTGCTCTTGTCTCCTTCCAAACAGAAAATAAGCTTTTACCAAAAATATATTTTCACCAGTGATGAGTTGATGCAGTCTTGGCAATCTTGTTTGCTGATGAGCTGCTGCCAGGAACACCATTGCTCTAACTCTCCTTCCCACAGCTCTCCTGACCCCTAGTGCAGACCACTTTCACACTGACTGAGGAGCCCTACAGATGACACCAGGAAAGTGGCTGTTATGGTAATCTGGGATTCCGGGCTGCAAGTTAGACAGCTGGCTCCTTGGGAGCTGTCTCCACAGTGGCTAGGTAGGACATCACTGCCTGTGTCAGCCTGGTGCTGACCATCTCTAAGCAAAGAGAAATCTGAACACCAATGCAGTTACTGAAAACAGCTAAAAGGTTTTAAAGCCCATCTCCAGGGAAAAAAAACTACTCTTGCAGTGGGGCTATCCTCACACTGCAAGGGTAACTGATTATTTTTGTCCAGGTGTAATGTGTAAAGCACTTTTACTTACCTGATGCCAGGCTCAAGACTGGCACCTGCAGCTTCTCCTTCCCCCACCCTGTTCTGGTGGTCGGAAGCCCGCTGTGGTCATGACATCTAATGCAGGGACATAACCCTGAATTATCAAATGAATAGTTAACCCTTGCAGTGAGGGGGAGGTAACTCTACTTCTTGCAAGGATAGTTTTGTTTTGAGATGGGCTCACACTGCTTACTTCTCCTGTAATCCTTTGTTAAAAGAGAACTATGGGGCAAGTGTTTTTTTCCATAGTTCTCTTTAGGATAACAGATGGACATACACTAACCTCACGTGACTCACTAAGTTCTCACTTCCTCAGTTCTCACTAAGGGCTAATTCACACTAGAACATTGCTCTAAAAACACAGTATGTGTGCATTTGGCGTATGTTACCACACATTGCTATGCACCCAATGCCAGGAGTGCTGCTGCATTGTTGCCATTCCTTCTAAATGGCACCCCAACATGCCACCTGATGAGTGGGCGTACACTCCGCTGCAACACATGGCACCGCGTGTGGTGATAAAAAGATACCCAGTGTGGTCAGATTATTCATGCATGCCTGACCACTTTTGGAAATCTTTGGGCACCTTTACTTTCTAGAATAATTTTTGTCTGTCATTTTTAGATTGGACTGTTGTGATTTTTTTAAATGCTGTGTACTGGCACCCATTTCCCTACTTCCATTTAGAAATGTATTTGAGAAGAGGAGAAAACAGATTTTGTTTTGGAGGAGCTGGAGGTTGACGTCCTGTGAGGCTTATAACTTTGTGCAACAGTTTGCCCAATTTGGGTCTGTCTTTTGTTTTGTTTCTTGTGATACTTTACCCTTGTTTTCACAGTGCTTTAGTACTCTGTTTTTTTTTTTGGCACATAGGATATCCGATCCACATTTCTACTATAGGCAGGGGAGCAGTTCTAGTCTTGTTCATGTCCCGTAATAGGACCCTGAAGTAGCTTACAGCACATATCTTTTAATCCTAAGGACTCCAATTTGCCTTTTCGTATATTGGCCGTTCATTTGAATTGCTTGTTACTGCTATGGTGCTGTAAAGGCATCATCTTGCCATTTCCTTTCCATGTGTGTGTATGTGCTGAAATGTAGTAAATTCTTGCTGTACACGCCACTTATGCAAGCTGAATCCTATGTGTACAAGATTAAAGTGACTGTGCCAGTAACACACTTCCTTTTCTAGGATGGCAGTGCTCACTCACCCTTCTGTATCGGGACAACAGAAGCCAGATAGGACTGCGAAATCTGTGCACTGTTCTTTAGTGCACTTTTAGTTCTGTTCGTCCAAAGTAGTTCTGTGTCTGAATTGCTCTACTGCTGATCCCATTAAAAAGACCATTCCAGATTGTTTGAAAAGTGTTGTAGGTAAAGGCATTGTGTCTGCAGTTGTAGCTGCACTAACGCTCGTCAGTATTTTTAATTTGCAAAGCTGTCACCATCGCACCTCGTTTTCCCTGTCTTTTTTGATGGTAGACATGGCTCTGTTTTACTTTTTGCAAGTTAAATTTTTCACTATTTAAATGCCCTTTTTCCGCTTGTTAACACCCTCCCAAATTTTTACATGGCCAAAAGTTATCTGGTCATATCAAACAATGCAACATTTGCAGCTATCAGATCATTGTATGGTCACTTTTTAGACCATTATGTATGACTGTATTAGTAGAAAACAAGCCTTTGCTTTGAATTTCTAAATTATTACAATCACTACATAAGCCATTTTCAAATTTCATGTGAGGTGCTTATTTCTGCAGTAATATTCTTCAACTGATTACAAATTTAAATGTTCTTATATGTGAAGATGGTGGTATTTTGTACACTCTGTACAGAACACCCTCAAAAATCTCATTTCCTGCTCATGTGATTTGGCCTAGTCGTTTTCCAGACGTCTGCACATGCTATGGTCTGTAGAACTGCAAAATAAATTAATGGTTTTATTACCGCTCCCAGGAATCTCTACGTAGCAATATTTTAATTTGCACATTACCGGCTGCATGGAATAACCTCCATGGAAACATCTTTACAGTATATTGCATAGGAAGTTTCATGTTACAACAGTAAAACTCCCTATTTGGGTATCTGTAAAGAAAAAGCGAGG